GTCCTGTTGATCGCAGTGTTTTTGATGCTCATCTTGCTGACTGTGCTGTTCATTCTGTTCATTGCGATGCTGCTGTTCCTGCTCACCATGAAGCTGCTGTTTACGCTCTACGCCGCGTTGCTCTCGCCCCGCCTGCTGTGTGTGTTCGTGTGTCTTAGCGAACACTCCCATGGATAACCCAGCCCGCACGGGTCCCAACACCAGTCTGGCGGCGTCTGTCACCACAGAGCTGTAGGGCCATCGACTGAGCAGCTTGGGGATGTGCGTCTCGTCTAGGGGCTGCATGGTCACTCCGGTCAGTCTGTGGAAAAAGGAGGCACATTGGTCGTCAAATGGTGTCAAAGGGCGTCACTGGGTGTTACAGCTATGCAATAAGTGATTTTTACGACAATTCGTTGTTATTTGGTATAAAACGAAAGTCCTTTTATTCAACGACAGCACGGACGTTTGACAATGGTTTATTTTAACATCTTTGATCTGTAACCCTCGCCGGCACGGGGGGGTTGATGCAGCCCCCCCCCCCCCCTAAGGTTTTTCGCGAATAACTCGCGTAAAGAGCGGCCGATCGCGACGAAACTTTAGTACCCTCGCATTGATCAATTTTACACCTACCCTGAAAATTTCATGACCCTGACCCAAATGACCTTTGACCTGTGACCTCTTTTCCGAGACCATGTTTGGCCGGAATCGCGATTCGGCGTATGTCGGCTCGCATTAGCCGCGCGTTTGCAAGCTTTCGTGATTTCAAACGCTAAAACATGTGATTTGATGTTGCTCCCATGCATAAGGGTGGGTGTCAAGGTCACCTGAAGGTCAGGTCAGGTCATTGACCTTTGGTGACCTCGGTTCACTTTTTCGAGTTTTACATGTTTCGAGGCTAGTTTTTGGAGCTGATTTCGAATTTAGCAACCATTTGAACATTTACGAAGAAGTTTTGGTGCCTTCGTAACATGTTACGAAGCTGTCAGAGGCGGTTGACACGTATTACGAATACCCGTCTCAACCCCTACCGGTTGACCTGACCTGACCTGACCTGACCCGACCTGGTCTAAATACTTAAAGACATCATCTCTGAGCAAAACTAACACGATATTCGTGATCAGCACCCCGGAAAACCCCACAGCAGCCACACTTTACGACTTTCTAACAGGTTCCGATTTTCCCGATTTTCGGGTCATTGACCTGACCTGGAAGGTCACCCGATGACCTAGGACCTTAAAATTGGATATCATCGGCCTCCTCTCGTGACGGGCAGTACGCTCGTTTTTACCGCGAAACTCTAGCTCAATCAGGGGCCAAACGCGAGGGGGGATCGTACCCCCCCCCCCGTGCCGTCGAAGGACGCAAAATGGCCTGTGCCGGCGAGGGGTAATGTTTTGGCCAGAAACGTTTCTGTCAAAAGTTTCAGATATGCTTCATACCAATTCTATGACCTGTTGATAATAAGGTGGTAAAACTGAGTTGTTTAAAGTCAATGAGTGCATTATCCCTCTACAGAGGATCAGCATTCTAGTTGCAGCCAGTTTGTTGTCAAGCTTGCTTCGTAGCTAAAATATAGGTACTTGTTACGACCTAAACCGCAAAATCCGTGACGACTAGATTCCTCAGCTCTCCAGATTCGTCGAACCAGATTCATCGAAGCATCGATTTTCCCGGAGACTGAATGGGCCAGCCCCTAAGGTCTATTCTATTTCCCCCATCCGCTGGTGCAGATTAGCGTCTTACTCACGCGGGTGATGCTGGCAGCTGTTCGGGGGTCAGAAATATCTGACGATGCACCTCATTTTCTACAGTGCATCCCATCGCCTTGGCCACTGAAGTTACCACAGTGGCGGCGAAGAGCGGAGCAGCGGCCATCATAAAACTCACGGTCCAGAGCTCACTGGCTACCTCTGAAGATTTGAGGAACTGTTCCAGTTGAGGCATATTCGCCTCGGTGATAAACAGTTCGACGACGTTTGATGGAGTTGGCGGCCTCTGAGGAAGACACAACAAGAGGAAGATCGGTCAAAATCGCTCCATTAATTAGTAGCCTGCATCCTTAACCCTTGAAGACGGTTGGAATGGAAGCGAAGTAAATTTATTTTCCAGAAGAGCCGAGCAAGCGAGGCAGAGCTGAGGAATTTTAGTTGATAGCCGTTTTAAGTCAAATTAGTTTTGATCTGAGAACCATATTTTCAGTGCACGCTTGGCCTACCTTTTTCCCACCCAGAGCCATTCCCACCTGAATTGTCAGGATTATCGGTGAACCATCAGCCATTCCCTCTTCTGTGAAGATTGTGTACCCACAGTCGTTGATGCCAAGGATCATCAGCTCAACCAAGCACCGCATCTGAAATAGAGAATAATCGAGTGATTATCGGCCAAACGAGCGAATGACACTTTTCATCAAATAGCACTTACATAATTCGTGAATTCATTACACATATTGGCGAAGCATGTTGAATTTCAAGGTCCATCGCTTTGCGTACATACATTGCTAGTGGGTGACAATTACACTATAGTATGGCATTGAGGTCAAGTCAATGCGAGCGCTCTCTGCCAACTAACTAACTCTCTACTAACTAAGAACTACTAACTAACTGTAACTAACTCTCTGCCAACTAATCTTTACCACCGCCGCCATCAAACTTACCCTGGCGGCTCCTGTGCCCAGCGGTCGCAGCATCTCCCTCACAGCTAGCAGGTCCGTAATACGCCTCGGTGTCGGTGGGTTTTCAGTCACGGTGGTCATTGCCTTGGTTATCGCAGCCAAATTGTTTGAATTGCAAAGTATGGCGAATGCCTGCCAAAGTATGGCGAATGACTAATCTAACTGGTATCTGCGTAACGATAACCGCCGCGTGTCTTGTTGTTGCGTCACAACAGCGTTACGCGTTGTCGTTAACCCGCGCACCGACGGGGGGGGCGGATATCCGCCCCCCCCCCCCTGAGGTTTTTCGCGGATAGCGGAAAAACCGCGGCGCGTAGCGCCGCGAAATTTGGTATGATTATAACCTCATCAATTTTACACATGGTGTGCAAGTTTGAACCTCCTAACTTTTAAGGTCAGGTCACTAGGTCACTTTGAATGACCCAACCTCAAGTCACTTTTTTGCAACTTTGTCACCGTGCCAGAGCTACAGTAGATGTCGGAGGCCTTTGAAAGTCGCAGGATGTTATAAGGTCATTAGTAGCTACAATTTGTATATCTCGGAATTTTGATGTCGGTGACCTAAGGTCAGGTCAATTTCGCGACCTCCCCATTATAAGTCAATGGGGGGGAAAATCAACTCCCTGTTTTTACCACTAAAACGGGTCGGAATGGCCCCATATACCATACATGACTTCACATACGATCAACCTTCACTACCTTGAGGTCTGTTTTGCTGTTGGGCAGCTGTAAGGTCATGTGACGTCATCAAAGGTCACCAAAGGTTTTTTGCCAATAACTCCTTACGGGAATAAGATACAGCCGCGCGGATGGTCTCATTGTGTTCAGCTCGTCAAGACGCATCGAATGATATACATGATGACCTCGAGGTCACGTGACCTGAGGTCAACCTTTGACCTTGACCTTTCGAGGTCAACATATATATCATTCGATGCGGATTGACGAGAGGATCACGATGATGCCCTTAGTTTGTTCCTATATTGACTACTTCGAAAGTTATTCGAGAAAAACCCTATCCATATCTAGCGCCGCCATTTTGACTTTTTCGACCCCTGTGACGTCATCTTTGACCTGACCTGAAAATGACCTTAGTAAAAATTGTAGACCTTGTCCGTGCGTATCCGATGCCGTTTACCGCTTGTCGCTATCTTGCTTCGTTCTCGAGATCTCAGGGGGGGGGCGGTCATCCGCCCCCCCCCCCCCCCGTCGGTACTAAGTTGGCGCAGACCCCCGTCGGTGCGCGGGTTAATTCCGTGACACTAGCGTTCTCCGCGTAACGGAGCTTTGTAACGTAGGATCAAGCTCACTGATGACCACTTTAGGGCTCAGACTTGGGACAACAGCACGATAACCTAAACCGACTGGCACTGATCAAGTGTTGTGCTGTTATCTGTCCCTGTACCGCTGAGCTGTGCTATACGAAGCCACTCTCAGCCACAGAGCGGGGAAACAGACTGGCGACCACGGGACGAGGCACATGTTCCGTGTCTTCCCTCGCCGCCGCACAGCTGGTCGTCAGATGGAGGCCACCGGACGCTGAACGCTCGGCGTTTGTTTATATTTGTAACGATGAAATGAATGCCGCAGGCTGGGGAACTGCCGTGCCATCTACACTAGCTTCACGCAGACATGGGGTAGACTATATGGTTGTTACACATGTTTGCACGGCCTTGATTTGATGAGCAGTTTGGTTACATTTCGTTGTGTCCTGCATCCTCAAAGGCACAATAGTTAGGCAAATTATTACGCACGCACTATCCATGCATCGATTATCGATTATGCATCGATATTTAATTCCGGTTTTATTCCTATTGCGTCATCTTCTCAACGTGCAATGCATTGCCAATATTAATCAATCATTGCAAAGTTTTTAACTATTCCATATGCATAGCGGAAGATGTAAGAATAGGCGTTTTGTCTAACAAATGGCTGTCCCTGCTCAAATCGCAGCGTATACCTTGAACCGCCCTATTTTTTCTTCTGAATTGGGTCACCTCATGGTGTGCACAAACAGTCAAGCTTTCCGCTCCGGTATCTACCAAATGCCGCGCTTGGAGTTCTTTGCATTGGTGCTGCCTACCGCAGCGATTTCAATCAACCTCCAGTAACCGGGAAAGTATGCTCTCCGGCTCCTGCTGACGTTGAGGTTTTGTCTCAGTGCGCGTGGGAGGTAGGTACGGCAGCAGCTGCTGACAGAGACCAGTGCAGCTTCCTCAACAATCTGTGGACAGATCGGGGGACCGGGGAAAACGGAGCACCTTTTAGCCGAGCTGAGACGACGCAGGCGGAAAAGCGTGCTCAGAGCATGTAAGTATAAATTGGGAGCAATGTTGTCAGGAGATACCACTTGTTCGGCGGTCAGCCCACGGGATAGACATGAAGGTAAGCGACATACAATGGCTCAAAGATCAAAGGGTTATTGGGTCAACTGCCGTTTAAGACACTTCTTGTGAGTCTTTGTTCTCCGAGAAATGCAGCATTGGTTGCTCTATGAAATGTTTCGAGTGGTTCGTTTGAACGCATTGCGCTCCTTGCATTAGATCAAAAGATACTATATGTTCAACGAACGTAAATTTGTGAAAATTTGTTGCGTTATATTATATCTAGTTATAGGTACAATTGGCATGCTCTTATATCAAACTGGAATTACACCAGTATAACGCCTTTTGGGGCGACTAACGGAGCGAGCGAGAGGGTGGGCCTTGCACGTGCGAAATTGCGAGGGGGTACTTCCAACTGACTTGTGCACGGCACCCTACTAACCGGTCTCTAGCGATGTGCCAAATTTGGGCACAATCTGCCCAGCCGTTCTCGAGATCTGGAAGCGGCACCCTGCACGTGCGCACGTGCAAAATGGGTCCCAACTGACTTGTGCACGGCACCCTACTAACCGGTCCCTAACTGTGTACCAAATTTGAGCGCAATCGGTCGAGCCGTTCTCGAGATCTGGAAACGACCCCTGCACGTGCGCACGTGCAGCAGCACCCCAACTCTGGCACATGGATATGCAGTGCCTAGTGGGTGCCTACCTACATGCCAACTTTCAGCGCAATCGGCCAAGTAGTTACCGAGATATTGCAACAATTACAAAACTGACACCTCTTCGTTTTGCACGTGGCACGTGCATAAGGGGTCACCCACATGCATCGGGAATAGTCCAATACTTGGTAGAAGGAATGAAGCTACCCTACAAAAATTACCGCATGTGAATCGGTCAAGTGGTTGCTGAGATATAAGCCTCGCAAAAGCGTCCGCACGGCCGGCCGGCCGGCCGGCCGGCCGGCCGGCCGGCCGCTCATACTCAGAAATTTCCGTTATTCTACGTAAGACTCCGCTCGCTTCGCTCGCTCCGTAATCAAAAAGTTTATTGTAGCGGTATTACTAAATTTATTATTTCCGCTCTCGCAGATAGACTCCAACAATACGGTCTGATAGAAGTTTTATAGCGGTTGCTACAACATCAACACGGCCTCAAACACGCCTAAACTTTGGTCTGATATCGTCTTAGGTGCTGCTCCTGACATACTCCTAGTCCTGCCCCTACAGCTGTTATATGTTTCGCCCCTGTCGGTGACACTCCTGATTCCTTCCTATCCGCAGCTAACACTAGCCAGTCTGGTTCCGCCAGTCACGTCCATCAGTCCTCATGACACCCGACGCAATTAATGTGGGCGCTGTGGGTCTTTCTCTTACTTAATTCCCATAACTGTGGATGCTTCTCCTTCGCAAGCGCTGACTTCCCGCCTTCTCCAATGCTGCTTTGGGTCTCACTCACCTCTGACGGCTCTGACCATGCTCCTCTCCTCAGCTGCTGTGGGCGCTCTTCATCATATGAACTCTCTGAAAAGCCGCTGTAAGACACATTTGACCAATATCCCTCCACTTACTAACTCTCTGAAAAGCTGTTGTGGGCCTCACCTCTGACCATAATTTGTTTCTCAGCTGCTGTGGGCGCTCTTTCTGGCGGCGCTGGTCGCTGCCGATGACTGCGACGATGACGATGACTGCGGGGGCGGCTTCGACTTCGGCGGGGACTTCAGCACGGTCGGAGGAGACTTCGACGTCGGCCTCGGCAGTTTCGGAGGCGGCGCCGACTTAGGTCTTGGCATTAGCGGTGGCAGCTTGGGCGGAGGCGGCGCAAGTTTCATTGGAGCTGGCGGCGGCGGAGGTGGGGGCGTAAGCTTCCTCGGAGGCGGCAGTGGAGGCGGCGGAGGTATAGGCCTCATCGGCGCTGGCGGCGGAGGCGGAGGCGGCGTCAGCTTCCTTGGAGGAGGAGGAGGTGGCGGAGGCGTTGGAGTCCTGGCTGCAGGCGGCGGCGGTGGCGGTGTTGCCTTCGGCAGCAGCGTGGGAATCGGAGGAGGCGGAGTCAGTCTCGCAGGCCCTGCTGTAGCACCCGCGCCTGCCATCATCGGGTCATCTGTTGTTCGTGGAGGAAGCTTCGGCGGATCAAGTATTGGCCTCGGAACTAGCTTGATCGGTGGTGGAACCAGCCTGATCGGTGGTGGAAGCAGCCTGTTTGGCGGCGGAAGGCGGCTGTTTGGCGGCGGAAGGCGGCTCTTCGGAGGCAGCAGAGGATTCTTGAGCGGAGGTAGAGGATTCTTGAGCGGAAGCAGAGGATTCCTTGGCGGAAGCAGAGCATTCCTGGGCGGAAGCAGGGGACTTATTGGCGGAGGTCAGCGTTTCTTCAGCGGCGCCTGTGCCTTCGGCTCTGGCCTTCTCAGTATCCACGGCGGCAGCAACTGCTTCAACCCGTACCTGCTGCCGTACTCCTTCGGCCTCCTCGGAGGCGGCAGCCTTCTGGGCGGCGGCTCTGCTGGATTCCGGCGCCCGTCTCGCGGTGGTCTTTCCTACTATAGCGTGCCTCAGACTCGCTACATCTACGTCTCTGTGCCAGACCAGAGCTACTTCTACAAGGGCTACCTGCGCGGCTACTCGGACGCCTACTCCAAGGGCTTCGCGCGGTACTACACCGCGGGCGTTCAGGATGGCATCACCATCGCCAGAAGGCTTTCAGGAGGCAGGTTCCGCTCTTCAGGTCGCTCCTTCCGTGGCATCGGAGGCGCCTCCCGAGGTATCGGCAGTTCTTTCGGAACATCCAGGGGTAGCCTGGGAACCAGCCTTGGCTACACTGGCTACGGCCAGGGCTACGGCTACGCCAGGCCTTACTACAGCCGGGTTGGCTCCGGTCTAAGCTCCGGCTCCACTGGGGGCTACTACGGAAGCTCGAACAGTGGATACTACGGCACTGGATACTACGGCGCTAGCTCCAACACGGTCAACAGCTATGCCTCCAGCACGGGCCAAAGGCGGGCTGGACCTCAGATGCCATCGTACGCTGCTCAGACCCAGTACGGAAAGTGATGCACCCTGTCATGACTAGCTGAATATTCGCCGTTGATTCTCGCCCCATCATCGATGTGATCAATTCTACCCTGTAGGTATTATTAGGAGTTATATTATGTGTGTTTCTGTTGTATGCTTGGAATGTGTGTCGTTGTAGAAGTGTGGCGTCCTACCCTGTCTATGACAGAAGTTGATGTTTCTTGTTGTCTCGTCCAGTCCTGTCTCGTAAATAATTTGTTGTCCTTTGTCTTATGTCGATGAATGCGACCGATACAGTGGTAGCAATGAACTTCCCGGTAAATGGCTTTAAGGGCTGTATTTGAAATACATCAGCAATTGAGAGCAAATGTTTGGAGATGTGAGCGATAAATATTTCTGCACTACGTAAACCAGTGAGTACGAATAGTGCGAGCCATACAAGGTAAAAAGGTGAAACGTACGAACAGTTTTGTAAAGGACTCCGAAGCTCCATTGATTCGTTAACTCAATCAATTATTTCACACTAATTGGCATCAGATTACAGTGTGATAACAATCACGCAAAGGTGAACTGATCTTGCTGGTCAGCAATGATGGTAATTGAATAATTCAAAAAGTATTGCAGCATCTAGAATTATATCCTCATAGACGGTTTAAAGACCATTTAAAGCCGGACTATTTACGAACATAATGATTGCTCGTGATGTGAAACACAAAAAGGTTGTTTCGAGAGCAAAATCGCTGGTAGAGCAAACATTTCTCAGTTATTACCATCGCAGTGAAAACTATAATAATGAAACGTGTTTTGTTTTCATACTTTAACCTGACAAACAAATAAAAAACATATGTTGCGAATTAGCGCTCGTACCAGTATCGAGCGAAATGGATTCGACCGCTTTCTCACGACTGACAAGGGCTCACGGTTTTCCGTCCTCAGGCTACCAAACTCTGCACAGTATCAAGGAAATCAATAGATATAGCTGACTAGCGCCAGTGGAAAACCAACTGATCGGTTCACCTTTTGAGAAAACAAATATCGCCAGCATTGGCGTCACTCGACATACTGGTGTCAATGCTTCATTGATGTGCTTTTCTACGGTGCGTCATATTCGCTAAAATGGATTAAGGTGCATGCAAACACACGCAATGCAAGTCAATCGTCAATGACGTCTACCATCGTGTCAACATCCACTGTCCTTTTTGAAACGGGACGGAGTCGGCAGCACTTTTTTATTTGGCCTCGCCACACAAGCATCGTAACAAATGAAGCGTCAAACATGTGCATATCGCGCAAACATGTCATTGAAAATGCCTCAATTTCGTGACATCGTCTTCGTCAAGAATACAAGAGCGCGGCCAATATGAAAGTAAACCGTTTGGCAATGGCATGAGTCTATCACGTCATCTGGATACGAACGTAGAGGGTCAGTAATATCTTATCCAATACTTTTGATGATCAATTACTACTTAACTTGTGAATACCAGCTTTGTCCTTTAATAACTTGCCCCCCCCCCAAAAAAAATATATTTCCTTACCTATATACACAGACTTCTCTATTCTGTATAAAGTCTGTGCTATATATAGTACCTATTGCATTTTATTAGCACCTACCTTTATATGACTTTGAAACTTGAATGGAAATACTGGATAGTGGATACCCTCTCAGTGAACCTTAGTTTAGAAAACGTTTAAACCAGAGCGCCTCGCTAGGTCGAAGTGACAATTAACCCGCGCACCGACGGGGGGGCGGATATCCGCCCCCCCCTGAGGTTTTTCGTGAATAGCGGGAAAACCGCGGCGCGTAGCGCCGCGAAATTTGGTATGACTATAACCTCATCAATTTTACACATGGTGTGCAAGTTTGAACCTCCTACCTTTTAAGGTCAGGTCACCAGGTCACTTTGAATGACCCAACCTCAAGTCACTTTTTTGCAACTTTGTCACCGTGCCAGAGCTACAGTAGATGTCGGAGGTCTTTGAAACTCGCAGGATATTATTAGGTCATTAGTAGCTACAGTTTGTATATCTCGGAATTTTGATATCGGTGACCTAAGGTCAGGTCAATTTCGCGACCTCCCCATTATAAGTCAATGGGGGAAAAATCAACTCCCTGTTTTTACCACTAAAACGGGTCGGAATGGCCCCATATACCATACATGACTTCATATACGATCAACCTTCACTACCTTGAGGTCTGTTTTGCTGTTGGGCAGCTCTGAGGTCATGTGACGTCATCAAAGGTCACCAAAGGTTTTTGGCCAATAACTCCGTACAGGAACAAGATACAGACGCGTGGATGGTCTCATTGTGTTCAGCTCGTCAAGACGCATCGAATGATATACATGATGACCTCGAGGTCACGTGACCTGAGGTCAACCTTTGACCTTGACCTTTCGAGGTCAACATATATATCATTCGATGCGGATTGACGAGAGGATCACGATGATGCCCTTAGTTTGTTCCTATCTTGACTAATTCGAAAGTTATTCGAGAAAAACTCTCTCCATATCTAGCGCCGCCATTTTGACTTTTTCGACCCCTGTGACGTCATCTTTGACCTGACCTGAAAATGACCTTAGTAAAAATTGTATATCTTGGCCGTGCGTATCCGATGCCGTTTACCGCTTGTCGCTATCTTGCTTCGTTCTCGAGATCTCAGGGGGGGGGCGGTCATCCGCCCCCCCCCCCCCGTCGGTACGAAGTTGGCGCAGACCCCCGTCGGTGCGCGGGTTAACAATTGTTCCGTAAACAGGTCATTTTAAACATTCAGCATTAGTTACCTTACCGCGGCTTTTAAATGGAAACACTCAGCCACGGCCACCAACCAGTATCAGTATAAACCATTGTATGAAATCATTTGCCAGATACTTTGGTGGTCACTCTCAAAGGCAGGCGGATGATGATGGTGCTTTATTTATTTATTTATTTATTTATTTGGGGTCAAGGACAACAGGCATACGTAGGCCCATTTAATGTCCAAGTACTCAAAATCAGTCAAATGTTACACACAAACACTGGGACAAAAACATTGCGACTACGATACAATTTTACAATTCTTTTACATATGTTGACACATTGGCCCTAAGTTCCCTTAAAGAGTCATGGAATACATCAGCATCAGTACACTGAAACAAAAACTTATTAACAAACGATGGTGCTCTAACAAAAAGTGACCTTTGTACCGCGTCTACTCTCGCAAATGGAACATGAAAGACACCACGTGCTTGTTCGGTGTTTCTCGTTGCCCTTGGCGCGATAAATAGAGGGAAATGGGCTAAAAGGGCTGCACAATCAGTATGATTTTTATACAATTTGGCAACAAACATAATGTAATATTGTCGACGCCTATTCTCTAGACATGCGACGCCAAATAATCGCAGCAAAGCAAGTCACTGTAGTCTGTAATCAATAGCTGATGGTGAGTCTTGACATCGAGTATAACAATATAGCCAATATAAGAAACGTTGTTGCACCCTTTCGATTCTGTCCAGGTCATTTACGTCATTTGCAAAAAAAAAAATATCAATACCTATCCCTATTCCCAGCCTCCCTACCAAAAGCGACAAGCTTGGATACACGGATGACTAATTAGACAAGTGCAACGTCTTTCGAAAGAAATAATCAATATTTCCTAACAAGCTACCTGCATGTTTCACCGTATGTTTGGTAAAATTGATTTTTATGAAAGGTACCAAGCAATCCCGATAAGTGTCGCAAAAGCAGCTAGCAGTAACAATGTCTTGTTTTGCGTCAGTTCATCTATCATCGTCGGCGCCATATTAAAACGGAAGTTTGCTTTCAGTAATGCCCTTCCCAGAATGGTCAAAGCCATGTGTTGGTGTGCACATTTTCGACGTTCCACCACTATTCTGCGTGCAAATACCGTGTGTATACACACACAACTGCCATGCACGGCTGTCAAATATCAATGATCGGATACTGTGTTGACGATGAAGGCTTCGGAAATTTGCCCACGCATGCGCCCCGACTATATATGGATAATCGCTCCAAGGAAGTCAGCCAGTCGCCCCTAAAAGTTTGGAATGGACGCTACAGGTGCACACCGCACGGGGACGCTTTTTCCCGACGAATATTAGCACTGCACTTTCAGCTGATGGACGAAAAGCCTCCCTCACACAGAAAGACCGACGTCCTACAGCTACCAGACACACCAAGATCAGACGCCGAATCTTCTGCTCCAAATGGACGCAAGCTTTCCGCCAAAACTTCCAGAAGCAAAGTGAGAGCTCAGGAGGCGGCAGGAGGAGGTCAGGTAAGAGATCAGGAGGTGACAGTTCCCAGCTATGTCCACTGCGTGTGGTGTTACGCAGCGCAGCACGCGGGGCACTTCTTCTACTGATGGCAGCGTTACTCTGGCTTCAGATCATTCAGTACCGGGCACAGCCTGTGAGCACAAGCATCGAACCCCGCCTGGTCGCCTTCCCGAGGCTAACTCTTTGTCCTGGCACGTACCTGAGGAACGACACCTTTGTTGCTGATGCTGTGCGACGCACCAACAACGGCTCGCTCTCAGTGGAGGAGTTCTACCAGTTGATCACCATGGAGATCCGATCGTCTGCGAACACGATGGAAATGCCCAGCAAGCACTATCGATTCACAAAGTCTATAATTGGCAGCACCGATAGTGCACTTGGGTCTTGGAAACAACGCTTCTACCTTTCCTTAAGATCCGGTATCTGGCCAAATCGGTGCATTACGTTCGAACCAAGTCATGAGCTTCTCAATCCGGAAAAGCTCAGCGTTCTTAAGATGGTGTTCAAGCTGCAGACTTCGCCTATGTTTACCACTGACAGAGGCGTTGCCTTCCAACTCTTCTTCCATGGATCCGATGAGCCTAATGTGGGTGATCTTAGTGCTGTCACAGCTAACGATGGCTCGCTGGTCACTCCAAGCGTGCGTCTCTTCGCGGGGCACTCTGCGCAATTTACAGTGACGGCCAAGGTGCGTCAGAGGGTGAACCTCCGTCGACGTCCCTGCATCAGCAAGGTCGGCTACTCCAAGGCCGGCTGCCTCAAGGAGTGTCTGTGGCAGAGACTGACATCGCACACCGGCTGCCGACTGCCACACATGGTGGGAAAAGACGGCGAACAGCCGCCAGCTGCGCTTCGTCACCTTCCCGTATGCGAGCAGCTGTTGTTTTCCTCAAACGGTGAAGGAATGTTAAGTTTGTCAGAACAAATGACCCGTGTCGGAAACCACTCTGAAACGGTTCCAGCTGGAAATCTTGTCGTCCCTCCGGGTCTTATGAAAATCGTGAAGGGGTGTGGCTGCCTGAAAAGTTGCAGTGAAACTAGTTATATCACGCAAGTCCAAGAATCAAAGCCAACCGAACAGGCGAATC